CTTCAAGGAGCATGTACATTTTTAATATGAAAAAAATAAACATTATGAAAACAAAATAATAATAAAATCAAGAAACAAAAAATATTGAAGTTATAAATTTCAAAGTTATAAAAGTTTTCAAACATTAACAGTGCATGCCTATATTTCCCCGTTTACCCAATTAGTAAAGTCCAGGGTTTCTTAATTTGCTTGGATTATAAGCATATCATATCTCCGTATAGAACCTAGCACTATGTTCCATTTAATCAAATAAATGGTATCTAGCTGAACAGAGAAAGAAACATACAAATATATTCCTAAATATAAAACTCAAATATTACTTACAAATACAACTTTCCATATAAACTCAACAAAAATAGACAGACAGGAAGGAAGGAAAGTAAAAACTTACCAAGTTTTTTCTGGAACAAGTAAATGTATTGTTTTTAACTTTGTTTCTAGTTTAACTACACCAACAAATGGCCCCCAAGAGACTTAGAAAGATTTACATGCTTTCTTTCAGAAGTACCCAGGGCCTAATTTTTTGAGATCTATTATAAAATTACATTTCAGCAAGAAGACCAGTAATATCTGACCAAAGTAACAATCTCAACTATGTGAAAACCAGTGAAGAATCTAAAAATGAGTAAAGAAAGCCTCTGAGCAGTCAAAAGAAATAGTGCAAAGGCTACACACTAAAGCTCTTAATTCAGGGAGAATTCCTGAAAATCCTTCTAATTTAATCTTTCTTTTCCTCTTTTAAAGAAATTCCAACATTGGTTATCTGGTTTCCCAGTTTGCATCAAATTAGACCATCTATATGTAGCACAGACAGGAGAATGGAGAGGAGAGAAAGTAAAAGCAGGCATAGTACAATAATATTGGCAAAGAGTAAAAACCTGAAGAAATAAGGCAGAAAAACTATAAAGAGCAGAAATATTCAAAAAAGCATTGCTCACTAAGATCATCTGACCTCTGAAGACATCAATGAAGTGAACTGTATACTGTTTAATGATACATTAGCATAACACTAGGTTATTAAGAAAAACATTAAATTATGTTTAAGTAAGTTCAAAATGGCAATGAAGTTTAAAATTCCTTTTCATATTCAATGTTAAGAGTTAAAAAAAATAAGCTGCCTACTTCATGGTCGTTTTCTTCATATTCTGGAATACAAGGATATGTGTAAATATTTACAAATTCAGGAGCTAAGAGTTTTGCATGTATAGCAGTACTTTTGCCATCTGTTTCATTTGGATGTTTAATGATGTCAATCTTCAATGGAAGCTAGGTAAAAAGAAAAAAGACAAATGAACAAAACAAAGATAAAAATTCTAATTTTTATGTTAATAAAAATGGCCTTTAAAGCTAAATAGCAAGCTTACAATAC